GCTGACCTTGAACCCACAGCAGCAATCTTCCTGTCCCAGCTACCCTCAGTGCCAGAATTCCAGGCCTATGTCACTGTGCCAGCTTCTCCTGCCGCCTCTCTAGCTGGCTTCTAGGCATACAAGAGCCCTCTGACTACCTTACCCTCCCCTGTAGGATCAAGTCCTAAAACTCTCATCATTGCAGACGGAGCCCACTCCATTTCCTAGAGGAAGAAAGTCTCCACACACAGACGTGCTGGGTTTTCCACCCAGTCCACTAGCAATCAAGCCTAGACACCAGGAAAAAGCCCAAAGGCCCTGGCTCCCAGAGCTCTCAGAGAGATGAAAATTGAGTGAAGCAGAGATTTCAGGAGAGGTGTGGAAGCTCCATGCCTCTACCCCACACCTTCTACTATGCTTCTCTTTATCTGTATGTTTTTAAATAATTTTTCGTAATAATGTGATAAGCCTGCTCCTGAGTTCAGTGAGTTGTTCAAACAAATTAGCCAAACTCAAGGAGGAGTAATAACAACCACGATTTATAGTCAGTTGATCCAAAAGCACAAATAAAACCACCCAAGGCTTGGAACTAGCAGCTGCATTTTCTGGGAGAGAATCTTGGAGTTTGTGCCTCCAACCTGGGGGGTCTGATGTTATCTCTGGGCTTACGGTATCAGAACTGAATCAAATTAGAGGACATTTCTCTGGCATCTGGTGCTACAGAATCAATTGTTTGCTATGTGAGAAATCCCCACCCATCTGCTATTAGAAGTTTCTGTGGTGACTGTGGTCTAGCAGCAGAAGAAATCAAGACATTTTGTTTTGCCTGCCACATCCTTATTCCTGGCACATTAATCACTTTCCTAGACTCATAGCAAGGCCAGTCTACAATAGGATGCCCTCCATGAGCATCCTCTGAGTCTTCCTTTGAGCCCCGCCCACGGAGTGTGGGCATGAGTGATGCTCAGCAACATACTTTCTGGCTTACCCACGCTCTGGCAGCTTTGTGAGAATGAAGCCTTTTCAATACGGTGCCTGCTGTATGGCAGACGTTCAGTACTGCTTATGTAACCCAGCTGTTAACAAGGAATAAAACATCTGCCAGCTCTGGTCTAGGAAAATCTAAAGACGAGGCAAATGTAAAAGCATAACTCATTCCAGGAAGAAATGAACAATGCTACATTTTCCTGTGACAGATCATGGGATGTGTGGCCCAGGGGCGGTGCTGAACAAAGCCAACCGTCAAATTTCTGGAGAAAGCTACAGGGATAAACGTCTCTTATGCCTAAGACAACCTAAATGAAGCCTACAAAATGAAAATACCTAAAGTAATCAATCTGGATGAGAGCTTTGATCTACAGGAACAAAACCGGTCAGGAGTGATGAAAATATGCCTGCAATTCCAGCACTCAGGAGGCTGAGGTCCAAGTTCAGCTGTGAGTTCAATACTATCCTACTCACCTTGGCAAGTTTGAGGACCGTTTACGATACAAACAAGCTTAATTCATAAAACTGAGAAAGCAGAAGAAGGAAAATGGCATCAATGGAGGAGTGGACTGTTGGTTGTAGAAGAGCAACAGTTAATGCCTAACGTAACTCTAGAGAATTTCCTCACTCAAGACGTAGCCACTTTGGGTAGACATGGGTATAGAACATCAAGGGGGAATATTTTACAAGTGGAGAATAAGTAAGCTTTTAAAAGTTTATCATGTGGACCAGCAAGATAGCTTAGTGGGTAAAAACATCTGGTGCCAAGCATGACGAGCCAAGTTCAAGGCCCAGGCTTCACACAGTAGAAGAGAATTAACCCCTTCCAGCTGTCCTCTGACCTCCAAAGGTACACTGTGATATGCACACACACAAAAGTATTAAAAAATGTTATCAAGATTAAAATAAAAAACGTAAAAAGAAACAAAAGTTAATCATTGCACAATAATATTCTGCTTCTCATTGTTAAGAATTTATATTAATCTGTTTCTAGGAGAAAACAACTCTTTTAGTCTTCGTTCCCACTTTATTTACACATTCAAAAAGCATTATTAGATAGGGAGAGAGGTCTAGATATTCCATATTCTAGAAATTCCATAAAAACAGATGCCACACACACACACAAAAAACAGATGCCACTGGTCCAATAATTGAATCAATGAATAATTATCTATATAATAAAGCTAAAACTGTTACCAATAAGTTATTTTTCATTTTTAAATCTATTATTAAATCATTTCGTGCTAACTAAAATTTAACATATGATATTTTTTAATGAATGCCAGTCATCACATCATTCCTTTATTGTGAGAACACTTACCTGTTAATGGTGAAAGTTTAGAAAGACGCTTTAAACAGCTCACGGCACTACCCCAGCCAGGGACAGAGCTGGAGAGCTCACAGCTGGAGAGTGGCTTTCTAGAATTACTAGAGACACTGGCAGCCAGATTTCTTGGATTCATTCAGCATTATGCGCAGGGAGAAGAGCCCAGCTCTAACTTCCAAGAGCTGCGTCGTCGTGGCTTCTTAACGAGGGACAAAGAGAGAGAAGACAGCCAGGGTAGTTACCTTTTCAAGCTACCAATGCCAGACTGAGCAGCTATTACTGATGACTGCCCTGCTGTCTTTCCTCCAGGGAGCCTGAGCACAAAATGGATAAAAAGTCTCGGGCTTCCCGGTAGAGTCACAGATGGACTGTGATCCTAAATGTCCCACGGTGAGCACAAGTATGCAGGGAGGACACAGAGCAGCTAAGCCAACCAGCCCTGCCCTCAGGATGGGGCCGTCATTCTAATGTGCGTTTGTCACAGGGACTTTTCCACTTCTTACTGTGAAGCACCACAGTAGAAAGATCTGTCTGTTGCTGTAAACGTTCATAGATGAGTGGACTCTCCCAGGAGTTCGGAAACAAACTCAGGGACTTCAACCAGTAAAATCTGTGTGCAGAGGCAATCGCAGTGTGGGTGGTAAGTCCCGGCACAACTGAAGAGCACGGGTTCGCTCAAAACTTCAGCCAAGGACCTGTGTATCATCTCAGAGAGGGAGATAGGGAAAGTCTTCGTAGTTGGATGGCAGGTAAAACAATCCCCATGAAAAAAATGACAGCTTTATTAAACCAATTAAGCGTATACTGAATCCTCTAGCCAGCTGACCAAGAGCAGGCTCATGCCTGGAAAAAACAGTTGCTATTTTCTATTAAGAGCCAGCCTCCATCTGAATCCCCCTAATATCCCGAGCATCCTTCAGGTTCTAGTCCCGCAGTGAACGGAACACAGCCCTATGAAAGAGGACCCATGTACTTTGCATCCCCCACCAACAGACTCTGTCCTTATGCTTATACCCTTCCTCCAGGTCCTAGCCCTGAGCTCTCTTTCTCGGCCAATAGAATTAGTTCTTATTGTAAAGGTCACTAGGTCACAAGTTTAAGTGTGGAAGAAAAGGGAACCACGAGGTCAGTCTCTGGAAGGCTCCGACCCGGTGCTCGCAAAGATGGCACTGTCTCAAGTTTCATTCTTCACTTTCTGTGGATCATCCTTGCTGTTGTCCACCCCACCCCCACACACAGGCAGTGAGGCTTGTGGGGGTCCCTGAGGAGAAGTCATCTCAGAAGGTAAAACATTGGTGGTTCAAAGGATAAAAGTGACTCACTTCGTAAGAGTCCTTGCTGTCCAAACAGTAGGACCTGAGTTCAAATCCCCAGAACCCATATAAAAAGCCAGGCATAGTAACACCCATGCCTGTAACCCCCAGCCCTGGGGTGGATGGAGGATCACTGGGTTTTGAGGCTGTAAACCCGGCTCCAGGTTAAATGAGAAATCTTTTCTCAAAGGAAAGAGGCGGCCAGTGCTAGAGCAGGAGGCCAAGGTCCTCCTCCGGCCTTCACACGCACTTGTGGGCAGGAACACCTGTTCTGTGCGTGTGTGCGCACGCGTGAACGCACACGCGCGCACACACACACACACACACACACACACACACACACACGGCAGTTT